ATATGCTCCATACCGGATTGAGAGTTTTATTTCTGTATTTTATTAATCATTAAGCACAAGTGCCTTAGCAGAAATGGAAAATATATCGTGTCGTTTAAACAAATCCGAGGGAGAGAAAGGAAATTGCGGAATACGATATATACACACAAGCGAGAAAGAGAAGGGACATTGTAGAATAACACACACATACATACACATACACGTGAGAGCACACACATATACAATTACAAACAAAGCTGCTTGGCACTGCACTGATCAGTGTAACCGTCTTACGTTGTTCCATATCTATCTATCTATCTATCTATCTATCTATCTATCTATCTATCTATCTATCTATCTATCTATCTATCTATCTATCTATCTATCTATCTATCTATCCATCCATCCATCCATCCATCCATCCATCCATCCATCCATCCATCCATCCATCCATCCATCCATCCATCCATCCATCCATCCATCCATCTATCTATCTATCTATCTATCTATCTATCTATCTATCTATCTATCTATCTATCTATCTATCTGTATATATATATATATATATATATATATATATATATATATATATATATATATATATATATATATATATATAGAGAGAGAGAGAGAGAGAGAGAGAGAGAGAGAGAGAGAGAGACAGACAGACAGACAGACAGACAGACAGACAGAGTGAGAGAGAGATGCAATATTCTGCAGTCAGATCAGACATTAAAATTTTGAAAGAGACGTACAGACTCCTCAACGAGATGCAGAACATTCAAGAAGTATTAGCCCTATCTATATACTTTGAAAGCTTATACCAATGATATCACTTAACGCTATACCCAATATTAAATGGTTATGCAACTATTGCACAAAATGTGGCAAAAGCTTTAACAATCGGAAGCAGTTTTTTCCATGTGTAGGGATATGTCACTGGTTAGCGTCGAGTACCTGGTCAAAAACAAAAAGTTGTTACAACGACATCATATGAAACAGCTCCAACAATTGAACCGTACTGGTGAATTACAGAAAGCATCACAAATGTGGAAAGAGTCGCAGTACCCATTCGAGAAACGGACATATTTTTTTCTGGACAGACACAATGCCATAATTGTCATAACCTCACGGATTGACAGAACCTGTGACAACAAAATACAAAACCAAACTTTTGCCTGTTCAAAAATAAGGTTGTTTCCAAATGTTTTTAATCGTTATTAATGCAAGTCTGCCACTACGTATGTAAGCTTTTTGTTGCACCCTGTTAACACGCAATATGACCAAGAATTTCGTGTGAACAGTGTTTTGACACCGACTGCTTTTACAATGGGATGAACAAAGTTTTGGATCAGATACACGGATAAATATTTACAATGCTACCAGTTCTTGCAACAACAACAACATGAACCAAGACGGATCGTGTTTTCAGAAAAAAGCAAAACAATTTAACTTTTTTGTGACCTCGTGTTAATTTGTTCTCTATAATCCGTTAAACCATGTTATTATTCTGTATAAAAAGTCCGTCGAGATTGAGTACTCTAAGAACTCCAAAACTCTACAGTCATGGCTGCCTCCTCTGTTCACAGTCTGTTTGACAAAAGGTGATATAGTCAAAATTTGGAATCCTTGTGTCTTCGATATCCTTTTAGTATGCTGATTGCAAGGCCTAGTGTTCTGTTAAAGCTGATTGTAACAAACGTTTTATATACAAATGCTACTATTGTACGATCATTCTCCATATAATGTTGTGTTACAAAGTATGGCAGTCTGCTTGCTCGTATCTGAAAGAAAATCAAAGAGGATATTCCTTCCGAATAAGAGGGGATTATTGATGTAAATTTTAATACTAATTCAGTTTAAATAAAGTCTATTCAATCGTGATTACTGAATGCTTTGCACCTTCAGACTGATAAAGAAACAGAAAACTTCCAGACGAAAATTTGTGATCGCTCTGAATTTTTATGATAGTGGCGAGCTACTAAACTAGATGAAGAAAATATCAGTCGGGTACGTATTTTATTTTCAACATTCCTAGCTTTTGTTGCGACCTCACATTCAATTCGTTTCTATTGCATCACACCATTACCTTGAACTCGTCCAAAATTGTACACGAATTTTAACATTGAGTTTGTTCCTATGATTTTATGTTGTGGTGGTGGTATACTTACTGTTTTTTAAAAGGAATATGGATGTAGGTGGATCCAAATAATTGCAAAAAATCACCATTTAAAGGTTTGTTTAATCAAATTCTAAAACGTTACACCCGTTGTTGTAGTAATCAATACTGAACGGGGATATAATCTATATTACTTTTACGATAGTGAAATCCATCTCGTCGTGGCATGTTTGGTGAAGATGAGGAGGAAATTAAACTTTGGTTTATACTGTATTTATATAATCACAATATATACTTTACAATTCACAAAATTTATTTCATCAAAAGAAGCGCATAGTGTTTTCAGTATCACTATCCATTACGCGGTGTTGTTCAAGCGTTCCATAGATAGATCGGTCGTTGGCTAAAAGAATTATGATTACAGTAGCTTCATTATGCATACATTAATGCCACATGTTTGTCACAGATGTATTTACGGATCGAATTAATACCTACTACCCCTGATTATTTTCAGTTTATATATTGATGTGCTATACAATTGAAATTACGAGGATGGTAAAGTAATTTGCACGTCAACTTCCTCTTTTGCATCAGTCTAAAAATATAAAACGACATTAACTAACATTTTTCTCGATATTAATCAACACAATTGCAATCAAAGCTCACCAACCAACCACATTGATTCGAGTTCGCTTTTGTTGCAATCTAGCCGCAGAGAAGTTTTACAATGGTTCACAGTTCTCATCTAATGCAAAGTGTTTTCGAAAATCTTAAGGTGTCATCGACACGACTCACTGATCCAAGAATTGATATCCAGAACCAAAACTTATAATATCCCAAAATCCAGGGGAAGTTCCTTTCTATGAGAATTGATTATACGCTTGCTATGAAGCAGCACCCACAATGCAGAGAAAAACAAAGCCGAAAATACCAAAAGAAGAAAACACACAAGACACACACACACATACACACACAAACCATCTGCAAAAGAAACAAAACCAAATAAAAAAACTAAGGCCGCCAGGATTCCTAACTGAAAGAGAAACAGCACTGATAAAATTCCCTTATACCATTGGAAAACTGGACCTCCAGTCATAACTTTATCAACAGTCTCCTAACTTCCGTTATTGAAACTTGATTTAAAAAATGTGTTTCCCAGTTTATCGAAGAAGAAAGAAAAATGCATGCACTTCATTCTTAGCTTAGGGAACGTAATACTCCAAAACAAAGTGGAGGACGAATTCGGCTTTTGAAAAGCTTTATTGTCCACAGCAATAACTTACGCGTCCGTTGTATTCTCCTTGTCCAGTGACCAAATTAAGCTCATATGAGGTCCAAACAGCAAAGGAATACAAATTCTTGTATAAAACAAGGCATTTTTACATAATGCCTAAAGAGATTACAACATCATTATCATCAAAAACACAATCATAACAATATAGCTCATTATTTAGCCAAACATTAGGATCCTGTCGGAACTAATCAATCTGAATACACCGATGCGAAAATTGGATCATTCAAAAACCTCCAAAATAATCCATCGATCCTGAATGTGAATATTATTTGAAAATATTACCTAGAGGAAGATAGCGAAACAGCGATCAGGAAGCAGCGTCATTGAAGACTTTTTGAGCATAGTGTAAGCGAAAACTCCAGTAGCCTTGAAGTAAAAATGTGTTCAAAAGAGGGGATGTTTTCTACTATAAAAAATTCCTCTGTCAGTTGTTAGGAGTAGAAGGGAGTTGTCTTTTAGTAAGAGTTAAATATCTTACCTTATACTCCATCCAGATGCACCCCACCACAACAAATAATCAAAAACAACAACCATAGAGCAGGAAAATATAACAGAGTTATCTTATGCATTTATCATACATGTACTGTCTCAAGCACCAAATTGTAGCTTGGACATACAGCACATGGATAATTATCTGGTTGTGATATTAAAATAGGCCTATTAGTTGACCATATGAAATTGTTTTATGATGTGAAAGATGTTGAAAATAAATGCAATCTTAGCATTTGAATGTCTAAAAATGGTGGCCACGGGGATTGCTTTTTTCCTTTTCTTTCTTAGGTTAGATATGATGAGAGCGTATTGCGTTTACAATTCTAGTGCCAGTGTTAGAGTATAAGCTGTCCTTTTACAGCGAATCAGCCATTAATATTATCATATTATTATCATATTGTTGATCCTCAACAAGTAGGAGGCCCCGAGAGTCCGAGTGGTTTAAAACACTCACATTTACGGATCGCTGCCATCTCACCTCTGTCTGCGGGTTCCAGTCTCGGATTCAGCCAATGTAGGCATGTGAGGAAATTTACCAGTAAATTCTTGTAGGTTGTTCTTTCCGGGGTTTTCCGGATTCTTCCTCCATCATTTAGACTGGCTGCCATGTACAGCCTATCTTGTGCTGAAAAATGGCGTTAAACCCTACAAAAACAACAACAACAATTACAAATTAACAAGGAAATGCAAGATCTTAATAAATATTAACTTCCGGGAACTCACCTGCAGGACGTGCACCACTAATTAAACTGACCAAACGAAAACCATTCTAGAATGGCTAAACCAAAAATGGAGTATATATAGGTTTGGAAGAACATGGATGTCTGATAATAAAATGTACAATTTTAGTTTTAAAAAATAATGTTTTCAGAACATATCTTTTTTTCTAATTAAAAGCTACAGAGACCATTTTCTATTGATGTTGTTTAAGTCCTTTTCAAAGTTGACATTGGACTACTCATTGCCGAAATTAGTGCCTGATTCTCTCTAGGTGCCAATTAGAAAAGACATTTTAAATGTATCTACAAAAGAAAATGCTTTTCTTTGTAACCAGAATCTTGTATTATGGTCTTCATTATGAAAAATAGGTATGATTATATACAGCTAAAATTACAGTGCCCCGGGTGAGGATCGAACTCACAACCTCCGCATCGCCTAGTCCTGTGTCGAGCACAGAGAGAATACTGTCTATAAGTACGGCGCGCTAACCGATTGCGCCACCGGGGCAGATATTCACATTATGTGCCAGAGTAGCAACATTGTTAAGCGCAAATCGAACTTTGGTCGATTATAGGACCGGCGATACTATGATATCACACTGGCAGATTAACCATATAACGTGGTGTATACTGTTAAACAAGTACAAACTGAATTCCAGGTCAAAATAGTATTGCGTTTCGCCAAAAGTCTCCTAAAATGGAACTCTGCCTTTAACATGCATATAGAAACTCTCATAACTTTTCCACGCCTCAAAATAATCGCTATCGGTAAATGGTACATTGCTTCATACATATAAAAAAATATTTACATATTAATTTATAACTGTAACGTTCTTTGTAGTAGAGTGGTTACTGACATAAGACTGATGGAACCTACTGAAGAGACAAAATAGATAATCGGTTAAAACGGTTATGTTTTATATTTTATTTCTAGGTTTTTAATATACTGCATGTATTCATTGTGACCATGACACATAACATGAAACATATAAACATGAATCTGTATAGTTATTGACATCATAGTGAATATAATTCGAATCTTGACATTTATTTCACACGTCACGCCAATGTTCTGAACCGCTATTGCTATAGGAGGCAAAGACTGGCTACGGTGCTATAGTTGGTAACAAGAATATCCCTCCTATTATCTTGGGCTCATTTGTGCACACTGAGAATAAAATGTCCCCTTAAAAGTTTTGTTAGATACATTTATTTTAAAGCGTCGTTAAAGAATTGAATTCACCTTGGGAATTGTTTTTCTCTCGTTTAACTCGCTTAGGTGATGTTGTTTCTTATGCCACTTTCATAGAAACACTTGTGTTAGTGAACCATAATTATTAAAATATTTTAAATAAAACAAGAACAATTGACAATCAGCGTTTCAATCATAACGGACGGCACTACTGGTGATACAATATCGGAATTATAAACCTAACCATAAATCCAAAGAGGACAAAAGTTATAGCATTTAGAAGCGATTGATGAACTCGATATAATGGTAATGTCATTGCTAAGGGAACTGGAAGTTGAAATAGTCAATAAAATGTCTTCATTTTACCTTGTGTGGTACATTTAATACAGAAAAGTACACAGCTGCTGAATAGGTTTAATAATCTGTTGATTTTTCCTCTGTGAACAAATACATGTACATATCGTGAAATTAGTGCGTCAATTATTGTATATTATAGTTGTCCGAATTTTGAATTATGTTGCTGTAGTATGGGAATGTATCGCAACAAAGGCATTAGCAATAGAAAGCTTCAAATTTCGTGAAATAAAAAGTAATCGGTGTTGGAAAATAGAGTTTAAAATGACTTTGCTAATGGTGAAAAAGTACGTCCACATTTTAAAGCACTGGACAAGACTTATTTCAGGTAATAATAGGAAACATTGATATAGTCTGCAGTTCAATGTTGACTGATGTGACACCTTATGATCCACAGAATACTTGGGCATGCTGGTAAGATAACTATTATTGATCTATGGCTTGGAGAATCTTGGATTAGCCAATGTGTTAGCAATGCAGATGTATTTGTATCCCTTGTCAAACAAAGCTTAGCTGACCAATTTCTTCAAAAATTGGCATTCAGTGATAGTTCTTGTTTAAAGGTAAGTTTCTTAGACCACTCAGTCATTGACACAGGAATCCTCAAGAACGAGGTAATGTCTTAATTGGTCTGTGTATATTGGATATAACGATATACTTGAGATGGCTTCAATACAGAAATTTAAAAATTGAAAATATTACATAATCTGCATATAGAACTTGGTAGATGTTGCAGACGACTACTTAAACCTGTTGATCACCGAGTGAGTCTTATTTGCTTTCTCTGGCAGATGAATATCACCTTTTCATTGATTGTCAAACCGCTTCAAATTAGATAGATTGTGGGCTTTTTCCCACACAAAGCATGAACAGTAAAATGTGATTTATTTAAAATATGAAAAAACAACCATCTTATAACAAACCAGGGTAAATTTAAATATAGAGCATGCTTGTTAAAGTCTGATTGAATGAATGGCAAATAATATAACCGCAGTATGTTGTAGATAATAATGATATATATTCCAGTAAATTTGTATGACGTTATTCTTGAAAACTGAAATTAGTAACGACTTATGGCATGTCATATATATATATATATATATATATATATATATATATATATATATATATATATATATATATATATATATATATATATATATATATATATATAAACCGCTCCGATGGCACAGTGACTAGAGCGTCCTCCTCGGTTGCGGGAGGTTGGAGGTGTTCGATCCCTAGTCGAAGTCATACCAAAGACTTATAAAAATGGTACTAACATCTGCCTCGCTTGACGCTCAGCATTAAGAGGTTAGTGTTATGACTGGTCGGCCTGGTGTCAGGATGATGTTACTGGGTGGGACATCATGTTGCATATCTGCGCCATTATGGCCGAGTGCTAAACATCACTATAAACTTCCACACTGCAGACATCGTACCGATATGACTGAAAAATTGTTAAAGCTACGTTAAAAATCATAATCACACACACACACACACACACACACACACACACATATATATATATATATATATATATATATATATATATATATATATATATATATATATATATATATATATATATAGAGAGAGAGAGAGAGAGAGAGAGAGAGAGAGAGAGAGAGAGAGAGAGAGAGAGAGAGAAGTGATTCTGTTTTCTGTAAGTGATGAATACAGGTAAATATTTGTTAAGAATAATACTTCCCAGTCGAATGAATACAACAACCAATCATCTGTCCATAAAGTTATATAAAGTCTCTTATCAATCTGTTGTTAGGACATATTACGATGCACACTTTCAAAGCTGGACGAGAACAAGATTGTTTTCAAGAGACTAAAATCGAGTAGAACATTGTCTTGAAATGAAAAAGAAATGGACTCTCCTTTCCTGATTTCAGGATCATAAAGCTTGTAACACGCCAACTTTCTTGCGCTAACCGCAGGAATAGCAGCTCAAGTAAAAGGGAGATGCGTAACTTTATGGACAGATCTCTAATTTGTGCTCGTCTTCAACAAATAGGGAAGTAAGTTTTTGATTCAAGTTTCGATGGCTTCATCACTAATTGAATGCATAATCCGTCTGGCTTATTGTTTTTTTTTTTTTTTTTATGTTTAAAAATCTGGTTTCTAATTGTTGGCATGATTAGAAATCTCCATCAAAGCTAACGAGAACTTCAGTTTTTATTTCATTTAAAGTGGCCAAAGTAACGTTTGAGCTCATTCAAACAAGTTTATTACGTTCTTCAAAGAAGATTTAACTCGTTGAAATATAATTTTATTCATTTAAAGTACGCATCTCGTTCAACAATTTTCAAATTAATTCCAATAATTTCTAAAGTTGGTACAATGATCTTATTAGTTAATTGAAGCGAGTTGGAAAAAGTCATTTAAATGAGATCTGAATTCCTTCAAAATACGTCAAAACTTGTTCAATCTAGTTATATACTTGTTAGCATTGAATATATTTTCTTGAGTGTGGGAAATATGTCCAGACTTTAATGAGATGAATCAATTCTTACTTCTTAGTTCGAATAATATTATTCTTAAAAGAGGATGCTAGCACACAAATCAAGAATTTATGTGAAAACGTATGCTTATACTAAATGTTCCCTTCAATGCAGGAATCAGTCAAAAGAAAGAACTTTTTGTTGAGTCGTAATATATATATATATATATATATATATATATATATATATATATATATATATATATATATATATATATATATATATATATATATATATATATATATATCGGAACTGTGTACTCCAAAACAAAAATAGAAGACAAAACCGGCCTGTTGAAAGCTTTATCATTCAAAGACAATCCATTAAAAAGGCATTATTTTTCTCTTCCACTGTCCAAATAAAGCTCAGAGGAGGTTCCAACAGCAAAGGGATACGAATGATTGTGTAAGATAAGATATTTTGACACGTATGTCTTAGTTATCGACATCATTATCATCTAACACAAAATCATAATAAGTTGGAAAACCTGTATATCTCATCATTTAACCTAACATTAAGGTATTGTCGGCATTACAATCAAACTGAATGCCCCGATGCGAGATTTGGATCATTCAAGAACGTCACAAAGAATACATCGATCCTGAATGTGAATTTTATTTGAACATATACCCTAGAGGACGATAGCGAAACAGTGATCAGGAAGCATCGTCACTGAAGACTTTTCGAGCATATTGTAAACGAAACATCCAGTTGCCTTAAGTAAAAAATGATCAAAAGAGAGGATATCTTCTACTATGAAAATTTCCTCTGTTAGTTGTTAGGATCAGTAGAGGGTCGTGTTTTAGTAAGAATGACAAACTCTGCTTTAAAAGGAAAATATGAATGTCTGCTTGAAGGATGTCAACACCGTACCACTTGACTCTGTAGAAGTATGAGAATTAAAGGCACATTAGTGCAAAGTGTTTGTAATTTTATGAATTTTATAGATTATGAAAATAATGACATGAATCAACTTATTAGCTGAAATAATTCGCAAAAAAACCTAGAGTGTGTGAATATTCAATTAGATAATTGATACATAAACGATTGAAAATAAACTTTTGACTGGTCCGCGTTTATTGAAACTTGTAGGTCACGAACTATTACCTAAATCCCACGTGACCAAAAACCGATACGTCATTTTCGTCTAGTGGGTGGTTTATGAGTCACGTGTAATTTGTAATTTACAAATTTACTGTAAACAAAAATGTCAGACGCACGAGAGAGTCGAAAACTTGCCCGTGCTTGTCGCTTTCCGAGAGGAAACGTCGAAAAGCTGTCAAAGACTTCCAAAGGGACCTATCAAAGATTCGTCTTGGGGACCAGTTTGTTCGATTGAGAGCATTGATGGAGGAGTTAGAACCTGCATCATACACTTAAATGGCGAAGTTGTTGTTGGACAGGTAGAGTAATGACTACGTAGAAATTTGTTTCCAATTGTTAATATAT